CCCCCCAATTGAAACCTAGAAAATTGCAAAATTTCTTTCAATAAGGGAAAACACTTTTAAAGTTCTGGATCTGGATTAATTTACACATCCATTTACAGCAATAAATCTGAATACTTTATTTGTTTAATTAAAGTATTCAATGCTTAGTTTATTGTTGAGCAGGTAAAGGAATCATATTTTTGGCCCTCAAGTCCTTCTGATTTTATGATTTTGGCCCATGTGACAAAACGTTTGGACACCCCTGATCTAAAACATGCAGAGTAATGCCCCTTTGTGAACCAGGATTGGGGACCACTTCAATTTCTTCCACAGCAGCATCACCTTATATATACGTAAGGTGATGTTGCTGCGAAAGAGATTGACCTCTAAATGTCCTTGTTGCAGTAGAGCAAAACTCTTTTGTCATAAGATTTGCTCCTATTTAACTGATTAAGGGTCGGCCATGGTACTCTTTAGTTTTAAGAACTTGTACAACATTCTTAGTAGAGTCAGCTCTAGGGTCCTTGTTTTTAACATTCCTCATCTGGTGAGTGCAAAGAGCGTAGCCTCATCACTACTGCCTTCTCCTCTGGTATTTAGACGTGCAAACTGGAGCTCAGAAATAAAATGAGTGTTCACAATTTGACTGTTGACAAGGTGTGAGAGGAAATATGAGGGGACGTTGAGTGTTTGAGGGTGTTTCGTGTGGCCGGAGCCACTGGAGGAAACTTCTTTCCTCATTAGCTGAAACTTTTAATAAGCATTCAGCTCACTGACTGCCCAGGTTTCAGTCTGACCTCTCTTTATTTCAAATTTTGTGATCACTAATCCTTCATGTTGGTCTACGTGCTCTTCTGCTTTTTACAGTTTTCTCTAATCTCTATCAGCCTTTTTTTAATCTTTCTCTGCACAATGACACTTTGTTTCTCACTTGAACACTTCTTTTTTCCACTTCCATTGCCAGTTTTTGTTTTTCAGGTCACTGGTCATTTGGGGCTTATTAATGAGAAAGTGCCTCACTTTTCTGGTAGGGATGGGGTTCTCCACTCAGACACTAAGTATTCTGTCACATAGTCACTCATGGCATTGATGTTATCTCCATGATGAGTGTCTTCCAGTCTGTGGCTTCCAAACAACCCAGTTATTTGATTTCACTTCCTGTGATCACCTCATCATGCTCTCCCTATGCAGAGCAGCTGACATTTGTATACATTTTATGGTTTATTTTATCTGGTGGAAAAACTGACAAATTGTTTTAAAGTAAAAAAAAATGTACCAGAAAAAGACTTAGTTGAAGTCTCCATGTTTTTCAGCATTATAGGTAAAATATGTGGTGCTACAATAATCATATATGGGAAATTTAACTGTGAAACCAGTCAATGATATTATAATAACTTTAGTAGTAATAGAATAAATCTTAAGGGGTAATTCATTATTAACAAAAATCATTATAAATAAAATGATTATGCTAAGAGTGTTGTTTTTTTAAACACTTTTTGTTTCACATCTATTTTTAGATGAGTCTATCAGAGGAAAGAAAAACTTAAATGAGTAGGTGCACCTAAACGTTTGACTGGTCCTTCAGATAAGAACAAATACATCTTTAAATTCATGCAACATTAATATGGTTTATTTGTAGTGTTAGTGGTTACTTTTAAATTAAGATCTAATTAATATATAGTTCGTGCTATATTAGTTAGTGCCATTAGTGCTTCAAAATCCCCAAATCTCACTCAGCTCATTTTTAAAATTAAATCTCATTTTGAGCTATCAGCAAAACTTACAATATTGTAAAAAAAAAAAAACCTGGAAAGGCAATCAGTGCTTGAACATCTCACTGTTCCCTGTTTTTTTGTCCTTTTTCAGGACAAGCATTTGAAAAATTAAAAGCTCAGATGTACAAATAGCCTCACTTAAACTTGAGTTTGAAATGTTGCTGTTGTATCTGTTTTTCAACTTCTTTTTATTGAATTCACACACGGATTCATTAGGCATCACGACTAATTTACCTGTTTTAGTGATCAAAAGTGCTTCACATACAGTAGTTTAGTGTAAGAAAAGAGACTAATGTGTTTTCAAGCTTTTTTAAAACTAAAAATGTGCAACGCTTTGACAACTGCTGTGGGCTTTGTTCTGATTTTAAATACTGTACAAACACATGGGTTTCAGACAAAGCAGTTAAAGTCAGAGTGGGCTGAAAGGAGAGATGTGGGGATTTTGGAGAAGTATTTTTCATCTTCAAGAATAAAACAAACATAAAATCTTAAGATTATTTACTTTGTTTTGCAGTAGGCAACCACGCACATGATTCCAACCACTAGGAGTGCTATGCAGATTCCTGATATTGTTAAAATACGTTTTTGATACAACTCCTCAGCTTCTGAAAAAGAGGACAATAATTCTTTAAAATGTCAGGTCTACAACACACAAACATGTATCTCAAACCTAAACCCAAACAGGAAGAGAAAGGAGTGTAAGGATGGATTAACAGCAACAAACACCCAACTACTGTAGTGTAATAAGTCAATTTAGATTAATGAGATGACTGAAATCAAGTCAGTTGAGGTAGACATCCATCCGTTTTCTTCCACTCATGTTTGGTTGGGTTGCAAAGGCAACAGGTCCAGGAGGGAAAGTCAAGACTTCCTTCTTCACAGTAACACTCTCCAGATCCTCCCTGGGGGTTCCAAGGTGTTCCCAGAGAGGAAACAGAATCCCTCCATGAAGTTCTGGAAATGCCCTGAGATGTCCTCCCTGTAGAACCTGCCTGTAAAACCTCCAGAGAGAGAGGCATTCTAGAAGTATCCTTATTTGATGTCCAGTCCACCTCAACTGACTTCTTTGGATGCAGCCGACACCCACATGAAAAACATACTCCCACCACCATCACCCACCTCCAAGCCCTAAAACGGAACCTGCAGAAGCTCATTTCACTTGTTTGTATTCAAGAATTTATTGTTTTGGCCAGTATCCACATCTCATGACCTTAGGTGGAGATTGGAAGATTATTGGACCAGTAAAGTTTTGTTTCTCTTTCTAGCTCCTTCTTTACTGTGACAGATGGAAACAACATTTTCATTAGTGCAGATGAGGTCATATCTATTGATCCATCCCCTGTTCCATCCTGCCACTGTCGCTAGTGACTAAGACCCGTGGATTCTTGCATTTCTCCACTTTGTTTGAGACAAAGACTCACTCCAACCCAAAAGGGGCATTCCACTTTTCAAAAAAATTGATTCAGATTTAGAGCTGTTCATTCTCATCCCAGCTGCTTGACCTCTGGGCTGCAGGTTGCCCCATGCAAGCTGGAGGTTGTGATTCAAAGATATCAACAAAACCACATGATCTGCTCATGATCTTCATGATGACCTGTTTTTAGACACCACTAACAAATTGGGAGACAATGGGGCAGCCGTGACAGATTCAAACCCACACTAGGAATGAATTGAACTCAGTGTAGAACGCAGACAGCTTTTGCTTCAGACCAAACACTCCTGCACCCCACAGTATGCTTCAAGGAACATGGTCATAAATATTTTCCAGATTCACAAAAAAAACATGTAGACTGGAGAGTCAAACTCCCATAAACATCTCAGCAACTCTGCAAGGGTAAAGATCTGATGTACTTTTCAACAAATGAATAAAAGCCACAATGTCCTGATGCATCTCAGTAATCCAGGTAAAAAATCAAAAGGAAAAAAAAATTGTATAGCTCCTCTGGACGGGTTCTTCT